GCCTTCAATGACCGAAGTAGGCATCGTGAGCGGCTTGGGAGCTCTAATGGCTGCTTGCGGTATCATCAGCGGATTATATTCACTCTAATAATAACAATTTATCGTATTTACTGTGATCAGTTCGCCTTCATTAACCTATTATGCAATTTGAGCGGCTTGGGAGCAGTAATAGTTGCGTCTTATGTTGTAGCTACGTTAATTTATGTTAATTATCACCGTCGGACTAACAACTCTACTCAAAATGTTTTGTCATTCCGAGCATGTTGTGTTGAGTAATTCATCCAGCATCCAGGCAATTTTAGAGGTTTGCGGTAATATTTGCTTACAACATTTTAGCAAAGTTCATATCTGTTCATACCGGCGACAGTCTTTGATATTAGCTGATGATTTCCTTGCCGTAGCACCATTTATTTCACATGTTAAAATAGAGTACAAACAATTTACCCGCAAAGAGAAATAATTTGAAGAAATAATGCTACATCGTCGTCTCTCTGATTTTATATCTCGACTTCCGTATAAGCCCCAAAAGTCATGAAAGTGTGCGCAGAGAAGGGCTCAAATGGAAATTGAGATACGACATGAGATGAGACATGATGAGAACGGCACAGACCGGTCTCCGAATTCAATATTGAATGTTATTTCTGGTCTGATCCGATCCTTCAAATCCTTCGGGGAGTGTAGAAATCAATGATTGTCTCCCTCCTAAAATGAACGTCAACCTGCTCAATATCCAAGCTATTACGTCTCACACATAGCAGAGAGAAAAAAAACTGAGCTGACATGTAATCAGCCGTGTTAAGGAAGAGCGCTGTATGCGCCACCAGACGTTGCCAAAATTTCCTTCGATAAATGCCGAATTTGCCGGGAAAATTGTGAATATTTTACCCCCGAATTTTCTGACGATTTCGTACGCAATTTAATCTAAAATATCTGAAAATTTCAAAGAAAAATGTGCGCGAATGTCGTCTAGAATACATGTTTTATCAAGGGAAATTTGGCAACTCTCGAATGTTCATACGGCGTTCTTCCTTGACACGGCAGTAATGACCTCTGACCGCGACGCCGAGAGTAAAGAGCGCCGATAGCTCACGGGTGGTAATTGAACTTTCAGACCCTGATGATGCACCGACGACGACGTCGGCGCCCAGGTGCGGCAAAAACAGCGTATCTATGCCCGTTTTTCGTATGGGCGTTGTGCGGTTGTGGGTCGGAGGGCCAGTGCACCACTGCACCACGGAGTGCAGCCGCAGTATCATTTCCAATTTGCACGTATCCTCCCTGGAACCCGGACCTCTGTGCCTCCTCCCCCACCACCGCGCCTGATTTGCATGTCGATACGTCGAATGGGACGAGAGGGGTGTGGGTGGAGGTGTTGTTGGAGCTGACGGAACGGTTGTTCCGGGCCGAGCGTTGTCGGTTTTCTAGGCGTCTGTAATCGCGCAGGTGAACTCCTTTAGGGTACACCGGAAAAAAACACATTGGATCCAGAGTCCAGACTCTTAAAAACATCGACAAGAAAAAATACTCTCGATTCAATCGGATTTTTGTTTAAATCAAGAACCAAGCCTCTTAATTTGAGCGGATTTCCTTTTGATTTAAGCAAAAATCTGATTGAATCAAGAGTATTTCTTCTTGTCAATGTTTTCAAGAGTCTGGACTCTAGATCCAATGTGTTTTTTTTCCAGTGAGGGCCGCATTTATAGTATTTCTAGGAACAGCTCCTTTTCTTAGTAGACCTAAATGATACACATTGTGAATAAGGGCGATTTAAGGAGATTTAGCATCACACCGTAGATTAACATTTAATCGAGTAAGATTAAACAGAATAATTTGAAAAATAGATTTTTGTGAGGGATTACAAGGTTTTTTCATTGCAAGGAAAAAAAAGGACAATCCTTTGATTGATACACTATTGATAGGTACCCACGGTAACAAAATGAACCTAGTCCAATACGTACATTTTAATGAAAGATGCAAACATAGTGATGCTTGGTTTCCCGACCTTGTCTAGTCGTCCATTGTCAAAAAGAAGTCTCGTGAAATTCGGCAAGTGTGGTGGATTGGATGAGTGCTGCTTTCACGAGAGAGTCTGGGAGCACGAAAGCGTTGGTACAGTTGCCCAGTTGCAAAAAGGAATATGGTTTGAGCTCTAGATATTGTAACCTGATCAAGTTGAGAGCTAACTCTCATCCAGCTGAGCTGGAAGTATTTGGAATAGTGCTTTGTCACTTTTGAAAGGTCAACTTCAGTGTTCACCGTTCCGAAATTTTAGAGGCAATATTGCCTCTAAAATCGGTGCCATGATTCAGGAGCCATGAATGTTGATATTGGATGAAGTTTTGCGAGAATTGAGGATAAAATAGTTCTCGGTTTTGCATTAAGATTTAAAGCGTCCCGCTTTACCGTTATACTAGGCTTTCATTCTTCACTTTTGTCCGTTGCGGATGGCTTCCAGTGAAGGTAGAACCGTGTATACTCTTCCACACTCTTCATCATACGAATTACATGATAAAACCAGAAAATCATATCTTTCTCCTGCTTTAGCTGAAAATTCACGCTTAGAATTGAATCAGTGAGTTCGAAAGCACACAAACTCGGAAAAAAAAATTGTTCAGGAAACACCTAAAACTGCGCAGCGGGCGAAGAAGTTAGTTTAAGAAAAACCTTTTTGGTGCCAAAGGACAAATACTTAGAGACTTTGTAAAGCTCCAAGTTGAAATCGAAACACCGTGTTTGATGACAGAGAATTAAGCGTTTAAAAATTTCCGAGTTTTTTTTTTTTTGTCAAGCGAAATTTTATTCAGTAAGTACATATTTACAAAAATTGTAATGTGCGTATCTTATTACTAATTTGCTTAGGTGATGATAGATATAAGTTATATATAGTGATAACATAATGTGTGTGATAACAAAAGAGACAAGTAAAGTAAGGAGATAGTTAATAAGATAATAGTATAAGTTTAGGAAATAGGGTCAAGAGTTTACTTCGCGAGACATGCCGGAATTACCTTCTGGTATATCTTCGGCTGCGGGAAAATTTCCGAGTTGGTGTCTTCGTTCTCACCGACTTTAGATACTGATTTTTCATAGTCTGCCCTGAAAAAGTTGTATTTTTCGACCTGAATAACGCTTGAATATTTATGTAACTTCTTGGTACAAGGTATACTGAACCGAAAAATGTAACTTCTTGGTACAAGGTATACTGAACCGAAGAAAATTGAAAAATCGGATGGTCACCCGTTTCCCTTGAAATGGTCAAAAATTGGTATTTCCTATGAAATAATTCGATTCTTCCATTTTCCCGTCCCTGTTTCGAGCACTTCCGATTGCAATTTCGAAATTTCCTTTTGCGTGCAGATGCTTCCATCCATAAGTGTTATTAGACCGTAAAAAAGTGAAAATCGAAAAAAACCCGAGTTGGTGTGTTTTCGAACTCACTGATTCAATTTTTGTATAGAGTAGTATGAATGCACGGCCGGCGCCTTAGTGCATCTATTGCTGCTCGACGGATGTCCGTTTTGCATATGCAAAGTACTGAAGGCTCTTCATATAACACCGCGAAGACGCAGCTGTATCAATTGATTCCGTGGCTTGTGCAGCAGAGCTATTTTTTTCCATACAGCATTTGTCATTTTAAAGATGAAATTCTCAAATCAAGTATCTCAACCGGCTTGTTTCAAAATCTCCTCTCCAATTGCATTTTTAAATGGAAGGCGAATCAAATTTATTCTTTGGAACTTTCGCAAAATATCCGTCTCACAGAAAAGAGATATCACGGAAGTCCTCCGAGCACGACGTCGAGTGGTTTTGGAGAAATAAAGTATAACGGGAAGTTTGCAATTCCGCAAAGCGAGATACTGAGATTAAACATCTCATTGTACATTTGGATCGCAGTTAGCAAAACGGAACCAGTGTGTTTACAGTGTTTCCAAAATTGTGCAACTTCTTTTTTTCTTTAAAAATACTAAATAAATGCACAGCATTAAAATTTACACATATTTTGCTTTAAAATTAACGATCTTTTGGTGGGATGCACAAACCATTTTCTATCTTGGGAGAGTTTTCAGATATGTATGGAGAGGCAACATTTAAGGAACACTGTAATTGCGCTGGTTCCTTTTTGCTAAATGCGGTCAGTTTATGACTTGCTCTCCTTTGACTCTCTAACTATGAACGAATGAATGTAAGTACAATAATGTATTGGCTGCCTCAAATTCTGACCGTGAATCTCAACTGCGCGTTCTCCTCTTATATGCGACCTTGCCCTAAACCTACATCTTCGCGGTTAAACATAAGATTAGATTAGAACCATCCTCACTTATCTACGTGAAAGTGATAGCCGACAATCTTAGAAACCGTCCAAAAATGACGTCAAAATCTAAGGAGGAGGGAGGATCAAGAGTTGCCTAACATGCGCTTAACAAGAAGGAGTGAGGAGTCACGCTGAACCTAACATTCAGTTTCTGGTAATAATTTCAACCGTCAAAAACTTGCAAATGTTTATAATGCTAGAAGTTGAAACTAGAGAAAAATGTGAAATTTAATAATGTTCCGTTCATTGAATAAATTAAATTGACAATTTCTTTAAAAGTGGTTTTACCACATTTACACTGGGGGAAAAAAACATTGGATCTAGAGTCCAGACTCTTGCAAACATTGACAAGAAAAAATACTCTGATTCAATCGGATTTTTGCTTGAATCAAAACGAGATCCGCTTAAATTAAGAGGCTTGGTTCTTGATTTGAGCTAGATTCTGATTGAATCAAGAGTACTTTTTCTTGTCGATGTTTCTAAGAGTCTGGACTCTAGATCCAATGTGTTTTTTTTTCCAGTGTTGTTCATTGCAACCACCCGCTCCCACAAATAGGATCCCCCATACCTCTTTTGTCTTCTTTGTCTATAGCTTTGTCGATCAATTTCAATAATCGGCCCGCTGGCGTCATTCATTGACGAATCCTCTAACGACCCATGACCTGACGTGGTGTTTCTTTTGTTGCAGCAATAAGGGGGAGCTGAACGGAGTGGGAGGACCGGTGCCGCCGCGGAAGCCGGGCAAGGAGACGAAGAACAATGGCGGGGGTGGAGGGAACCCTCCGACCGGAGCACCGGCCAACACGACGACGACGACAACGACGACGACAACGACGAACGGGGTCGCTCTGGCCCCGACCCCGACCCCGCTGGGGGCCCCGACCTCCGGGCAACCTCTGAGCGAGAAGGAGCGGCGCAGCGCCCAGGAAAAGCTCAAGAACCTCAAAGTCGAAGCCGAGAGTAAGCGCCACGTCGTCAAGAACATCAAGCTCGCCCTCGACCGACTCGACATCTCTGAGTAAGTCTCTATTATTTCTTTCCTCTTATTAGTACTTTATGCTTACCTGCTGCACCTCCATCAACCGAGAACCGAGAGTTGACACTTGCCCATAGGAATTGCGTCGTGATTCCGTAACATATCGTCAATGAGTATTTTTAAACAAAAAGAAAACTTATTTTTTGTTCAATTATTTTTTAACTCTCCCATGAGATCACTTTTATTTGTTTCTAAAGTGAATGGCATCCCGATTTTGGAAACTTCTAAAAGTCAAATACAACATATTGGCGCTGGTTACTAGACTGTCTCCGAGGATACCGATGCTGATTTTAAACATGACTCATTTCAACCACAGCAGAGAATTGATAAGGTTTTCTTGGAGATTTAAACGCAGAGTGGAAAAGTAAACTAACATTTCTGCGTCCAGAAACTTTGTCTAAGAATCGTGATGAAATGTACTCGACACCGGCAGTAGATTAAATTTGGCCTATTTCCGACACAGTAGAGTATCGACAAGTATTTCTTGGAGACTTGAACGCAGAAGTAGAAAAGTAAAGTAACAGAGTGTGTCCAGAAACTTGACTGTATTTAAATGTACTGGACGCCGATAGTGAATTAAATATGGCTTATTTCCAATACAGCAGATCATTTGGATTGCATTTTGCAAAAAGGAACCACTAGCATTGCAATGTTGCTAAGATTGTGCAACTTCTTTTGTCTTGGAGGAAAAATCCGATTATACCTAAACTATTATCGTTTCTATTTTACTCGCTAAAAACTGTAAATTTAAGACAAAAATTACCATCTAAATTTCATAGTATTTCACAATTTCTGCAATTTTATTGCAAAGGATGAAGTTGCACAATCTCAGCATCATTGCAATGCTAGTGGTTCCTTTTCGCAAAATGCAATCCACTTATCAGCATTTCTCGGAGACTTAAACGCAAAAGTAGAAAATTAAAAAGTCGAAAAATGTCATTGAAAATCTCAATAAAAATCAGGGAAATGTCAGGGAAATTCAAACCGAAATTTTAGCAGATACCCTGAGATTGGAGCTTTCGATACTCGCCGCTTCAACTCGTATCGTCTGTAACCCATTGCGAAGAACGGCACTGGTCGTGGCACGGCGGGTCGGGTCTTGGACCGAGGACCTGGATCCGAGCTGAGGCGTTGAGAGTCGCGTCGGAGGTGGATGTGGACGTGGAGGGCGCCGCGCCGCGCCGCCGACGATGTACTTGTTGAGTCGCCGCTTAAATTGATAGCGCCGACGCCGGGATTCGCGATCGGGGGTACTCCGCTACTACCACTCCACTCTCGCTCACCTTGAATAATTAACTATGATCTTCGCCCGGCTCCGGTCCCGGCTCGCCCCGGAATCCCTGCGCCGTCCTGCTCAGCGGAAACCGCCTAACTCCAACGGAGACTCCGTGTAGATAGGCTGTTTTTGTGAGTGCTCGTCGTAGCGCGCAACCATCGCTGCCGGTTCAACCGGTGCCTCCGGGAAATCAGCGGTATAGTTTTCCAGTGTTCGTTTCGGCATCGCTCGTCGGAACTAGAGCCCCCTCATACTGAGAGTCAAGACAATGTGAATCCATTTCTGATTGGTTCCCGTATTTTATGCCCTAACCACACGCTGAATTTGGCAGCTGAATGTGCGGTAGTCGACAGTCAGCGCTCAACAGCGGGAATTTCTCTAATTCGAGTTATTTTTATCCAAATGTGTATCAAATCGATTCGGATAGTTCAGACAAATCCGGCAGTATCCGATGGTCGCTGAGAATCGTTGCTGAATTTTGCGCATCACACGCAAAATTCAGGCATCGGGCCGAAGACTTCCACATTCAACCACATTCAGCTCCCACATTCAGCGTGTGATTGCGGCATTAGGCCTTCACAGTGTCACAAACGGAAATAAAGATTACGTTTTCACCGATTGCAAAGATTATAATCTGGAATGGGCCAGGGAATTACGGGTTTAGCAAGGAACAAACGGAATGAGAGAAGGAACGGAGAGAGGAATTTGAGAATGGGCCGATCCAAGATTAGAAAAAACGTTCAATTTCTGTAATCTTTATTCCCGTTTGTGACTCCATGAGGGGGTGTTGTCTTGACTCTCAGTATAAAGGGACTCTAGTCGGAACGGAGTCAAGAGTTTTTTGGTTACTTGGGCGTAGCTGTGAATAAGCTATGGTGGGCTGATTGTGAACCCGGTCCCCTAGAATGGGTCAGTTGCGCAGGTCACAGAATCGTGTTACGATGCTTGATTCTTGTAGATCAGCTAAAAATAAGAAAATCTGTCCTAACAACAATGGTAACGTTGCATGATGTCAACAAATCCAAAATTTGATCATGGAGTCACCGATTGTTGACGTCGTGCCCTGGCAATAAAACGCAAAAATGGACCCTGAGCATGGTGTCAACGATCACGGTGTCAACAGAGAAATATCTTCCTTATGAGTAAAATTAAAAAATTAAGTGTACAGGAGAGGTTTGGGTCACGTATAGTTAGATTGGGTTAGTTTAGGTCAGGCCACGTATGGTTAAATTAGGTAAGTAAGGTGAAAGTTAGGTAGGGTAAGGTCGGGGAAAGTTAAGTTCTGTGAAAGTGGGTAAGGTCTTGTAGAGTAAAGTTGGGTGTGGTCAGGGTACGGTAAGATAGTTTAGAGTAAATAGCACAAGAAAAACAAGACTTGAAATTTAAAAGATGTTATAGAGGGAAGTTTTAAGTTTCGTTGACGTCGTGATAATTTACACCGTGATCATCTTCTACAAGAGTCAAATTTTTTTATTTTTGGATGATCATGGTGTCAACAAAAACTTAGAAAAACTGTTTGCTGACACCGTAATCGTTGACACCATGCTACGTAATCAGAAAACAACAACCTTTTACGTTTAATATTAAACGAGATAGAAAAATTCGCTATATGACGTCATCCACCGCGGTAGTGACACCCTTGGTTTCTTCCACCTTGTTTTCATCCGTGTTTTACGTTGAGTAACGAGTGCAAATGTGCGTCACATCGATTGATGAAAGCAAGGCGGAAGAAACCATGGGTATCACTACCGCGGTGGATGCCGTCAAAACCTCAACTTTTCAAAGGGCGATATCTCGGCTAATATTGACCGTAGAAAGTTGCTGTTTAGACAGTTCTTATTATTTTTAGCTTAACTACAAGAATCAAACATTAAAACACGATTCTATGACCAGCGTAATTGATCGATGTAACGTTCTGTTTAACAAATCGAATACTTTAATCACTGTGCAACACCAAAAGTCATACAAACAAACTCTAAGGTCGATTTGACAACATGCGCCAATCCTCCGATTATTCAAGTGGAGGTAACTGGGCGAAACAACTCGCTTAGCGTTCCTTTGGCCTTTCCACTCCACGCGCGTCAGGGTTCTTTTTCCTCCTCTTTTCTTTTTTTGACATTTCTGACATTTAAATGAATAAATTAGCTGTTCATTTTCTAGATTCTGCAGTCGAACGAAGGGAAAATATTGTGGGCTTTATTCAATTAATAAGATGTTTATGTCAAGCGGAGCATTTACTTGAGCCTCAGACCTGTGCTCTCGCTTAATTGATAAATGCTTCGTGGGTCTGAAAAAAGTTAGCGTCAACTTGAGTGGAAAATGCACTGCTGATAGCCCAGTACCGTTTAGTATTTCAAGTATTCTTTTATACATACTTGCACAGCGTTTTTGAATCAGTCCCTTTGAATTGTGTTGGTTTGTTTTCCGGCCCATAATTATGAGAGGGGCCAAATGTTTTAAAATGCTTCAGTGCTTGTATTTTAATTTGATGTTTAAATTTTGCAATAAGTGAGAAAACATTCACCCGGTCCGTTTCTTCTTCGTTTAATAGAGTGTCTCGGAAGACGCAAAAAATGTTTAATTAATTGAAATACCGAAGAAATCAGTCGCAGATATGAAGAAAGGAGGAAACCCCAATCACCAAAATGAAAAATATTGCAATTCGTCGTTATATTTTCGAACTTCCCTCGCTAGAGGTGTACCCTCGCTCACCTTAGCTATCAAAACGCTGTAGGTGTCCAGGAAAAGGCCGGGAGTCCAGCAAAAGCGTTTCGTCAGCTTTCCGGGTGCTTAGCGCAGCATCTCGCCCATGTTTTGAGTGAACGCCGTGTGAAAATTCAATTGTTGCCAAATTTCTTCCAATAAAACACGTATTTTCCTAGAGAGTTTAGGACTCTTTCCGTGAAATTTACCAAAGGATTTTTCCACAAAAAATAATTATTACTAAAAATTCCGCAAAAAATAATTATTACTAAAAATTCCGAGGGGAAAATTTTCAAAAATATTCTCAAAAATATACATTTGAGGACTTATCTGTGACAATAGCGGATGTGAACAATTACCTTTTCGAAACGCATTAAAAAAACTGTTTCGGCATCGAGAAAATTTTGAGAAAATACTTGAGTTGTGATCTTCGAGATCTGTGCATTATGCCAGAGCCGAACATATTAAATTTTTGTGTGAACAAAACAGTTTTTTAAGCGTGTTCCTAAAAGGTAATTTTTCACGTCCGCCATTGTTACATATAAGGTCTCATTTACTTCTGGTTAGTTTGGCTACATTTCGAATGCTTATGCAGTGTTTCCTCCTGAGGACGGCAGAGTTCCCATGCGGTTGGGTTTCTCGCGGCCTTGCCTTGCACCAACCGCGCTTCTAAGTAGCGCACCGGAGACCCGCGCCGGGCGAGCGCGGTCAAGCCGCGATGTGCATGGGAAACCGAGACAATGACGTCGTTAGGGCGCGCGCATTTCCACCGAACGCGACACAATGGGCCGCCCGCGATTGGGCAACATTTCACGGAAATCACCGCGAGAAATCACCCGGTTTCCCTCTTTTTCGCTAATCCGATCCCCCGCGACCGCCCGCGAGTGAGATGTTCAGACGGAGCGACGTCCGACGTGCGACGATTGTCGCTTTGCGATATATCGATTGAGCTGCTATTTAAACCTATGGAAAAGGATCGATAAACTAGGTGTTCGCAGCGAAC